TAGTGTCTTATGGGAAAAACAGTTGAACATTGGGACAAATTACAGTTTTTGTGTGGCACCTGCCATGGAAGCCCAGAGGAAATAGATCCCTTGCTGGATGTAGTGGAAGGTGAGGTTGTTGGACCTAGGATAAAAAGGTCCGCTGACTAAGCGCTTGAGAACTTGTTTGACCCTAATGTTTTGGGCTTTATATTGGAATGACTCTGTGTAATTCATTAACTTGGGAAAATTTCCTTTGGTTTCGAATGTGTTGCGATATTTGTAGGATATGTTTGGCTCTTTTTAAAATCTTTTGGGACCTCTTACCTCCTCTGCAAGAGTTCATCTTAAACAAAGTGTTGTCTTTCTTTTCAGTTCCTTTTGTTTACCCAGTAATTTTGTATATCAGCATTGTCGTTTGTAACCTAGGCTTCTAAGCTTCTCTGATATCCATTGAGAGGCATCGGCACTTAGGAGTCCAAACTTCACAAATGCACGAGGTGACGTGCTTCCTCCTTGTGTGCGCACGGTCTTACCCTTTTGGCTGTTTGGCTTGCTTTTAGATAGAAAGTCATAGTCACTTAAAATTATAGGATAGAAGCTAGTGTCAGTCCACTGGATTAGTTTCTTAAGGTTCTAATCTTGTTACTAGTGCTATCTATACAATTCTCTATGTTTTCTTGTTTGATATGATCATTTTGATATGCACCTCAAAAATCCTTGTGACATGCGCTTTCCTTCTTCAAGAAATTTTTTCTTGACTGGTAGTTAGGGTAGCATAATCACTGGTCATGCCAATGGATTTATTAATCTCGTTTTATATGTATGTTTGCATGGACACAGTCTTGGGCAACTTTGACTTGGCACCAGATAAACTTGTTAGCCTGGTATTTTGATTCCATTTGCTACTAGGGTTCCAAACCTTCATTGAGCTCTAGAATCGACAGATGCATTTTAAAGAAATGATTAAAAAATGAATTTGGAACTTTCTGGAGTGAAGAGAGACATTTAGGCTCGGAGGATATGTGTTGATCAGTGATGTTGAACTATCTGTCTTAGTGTCAGTATACTCCTCACTTGGACTGTCTGTGTGTAGATTTTAGCTTACTTTTTGTTTGTCTACGAACTGAGTTCAGGTTTAAAAGCCTTTTAAGGTAATTTTGACCACATAACAAGCAGCACTTTTTCTGTCTTGTTATTTGGCTTCCAAAAATTGTCTTGTCAATCTGAAATAAGGTGTTTGGGTTAAATTATTGAGACCATAAAGTTTCTGTTATCAAGTATGATGCTTTCAGTAATCATCAGAAAGCTGTTCAACAGCATCTACATGTTTGGCATATAGAAGTTTGACACAAAACTGAAAACCACCTTTCGCATTGCTATAAAGGAACAAGAGAGCGTTCAGAGTAGTAAAAAATTCCTTTGTACAAATTAGATTAACATTTCGTTTTTTGGTGCATTTTTAGAGATAGCACCAGTGATTGGATACTCTTTGTAGCTCTTGTTTAATACTTATTTCCCCCCTTTTTCCCCATGAGTTAACATGCTCTTTACTGGTGCTTTGCGTATTCATAAGTTTTTACTTATTCTTTTGCAACAGATTAGTGAAGCAGAGTTGACGTCCTTGAGTCAACAGAGAAAGATTGAAGAACTTGAAGCTCAACTTCAGGAAGCGGAAGATATTGTGAGTGATCTCAGAGTAGAGCTGAGGGAAGTTCAGGCTGATCTTGAGAGGGTGACAAGCTGCAAAGAGAAAGGAGTACGTAACTTAGAGGATATTGACACTGCTCCTCCTGGAAAACTACATGAAGAGAACAGAGTTGTGTTACCTCATGAATCACAGGAGTCGTCTATGACAATTTCTAACATAGAAGTTACGAATATGAAGCAGAAAAATCAGGGCCATCAGTCATGTAGCAAAATGGTTCAGCTTGGAAAACCTAGCATTTCAGGTCCAGATTTACCCTCTATAATTTTGAGAAGTAAAGTGCCAGAGCTATACAGAAATGGGTGTACACAGAGAATTCGTGCTTGTGAAGGGAACCTTTTAGATGGAGATTTATCTGTTTCTAAAGGAGTTGAAAAAACTAAAAATGAAAATGGTAATGCAGTAGATGAAGGTGAAGGGATCTATTCATCACCTATTAATAAGATTGATGATGTGGTTAATCCACAGGAAAATATTCAACAAGCAGATGACTTGCTTAGCAGCTGGCACCTGCTAACATCTTTTCGCCGAAAAAGAAGAAGAGCTATGAGAAATAGAAAAGCTGGTTATCCTTCACCAGGAAGCAGTCCTGACCATTTCCTGAATATTGATAAAACGTCGAACACTGGTAGCTTGACTGCTCACTCCAGCCTTGCTAGTGATGGTGCTCCTGATGAAGATCCTTCTCATATGGGCTATGGTTTGTCAATAGGAAAAGATGAACCAGATATGAAGCTGGGATTCACTGAAATGCACGGAAATGAATCACAGATTTCAAAATCTTCTCGCCGAAAAAGAAGAAGAGCTATGAGAAATAGGAAAGCCGATTATCCTTCTCCAAGAAGCAGTCCTGATCATTTCCTTAATATTGATAAAACATCAAATGCTGGTGTCTTGATAGCTCACTCCAGCCCTGATAGAGATTGTGATCCTGGTGAAGATCCTTCTCAGATGAGTGACAGCTTGCTGATAGAAAAAACTGAACCAGGCATGAAGCTGGGGTTCACTGAAATTTCCGGAAATGAACCGCAGTCTGCTGAAACTTCTAGTGTTCTAAATTCAACAGTCAGTGATGAGTTAGTGATGGCAAAAATGGACTCCCCCAGACAAGAAAGTAGATCCTTGGAGAACTTAGCGGTTCATATCGACAGACCTGATTTTGTAACTGTTAGCAGTCAGCCAGGGAACTCATTGTCAAAGATAGCTGATGTATATGGTGAAGTTCCTAGCCAAACTCCGAAAGATAGAGTCATCAAATACACTTTTCAAAGAAAGAGGAAGAGAGAGCAGTTGAGTGTATCAGAAGAGAATGCTCCAATTGAGAAGAGCTCTCCAAAGGAATTAAATGGAGAAAAACTAAATGGTCATGTAGAGCCAAAAATGTCAAATTCAGCGACAGAATCATCACGGGACAGTCGCCGAATGGCACAGGTTGCACGACAGGTTGGTTATTCTTCTATTTATTCTCGTAGATGTTTCTGCTGCATGTCCATGTTTGTATATGCATAGAAGTTTACATTTATTTTCGTATATAAGGTTAATACGTGGAATGTGACAACTCAGGTATCTGTTGTCATTTACTTCCCACCCATCCAAAAGAAACAAAGAAGTGTCAACTTTTGATGTAATTTTAACTGCTTAAAATATTTATGACAGAAAAGAGAACTTAAATGTATGTGCAGTTTGGAGTCAGATGTGTTGTGCTCTTCTGAATGGATTTCATATGGGAATTATACTGACACTTTTATAAATAAGCTGCTAATCGAGGAATATTTTTGGACCTGCTAATTCTACTACTTCACAAAAATTATCAGTTCCTAGGATTCTAAAATACCATGCCCTGGAGGCCTAGCTCAAGTGACAAAGGAATAAAAAAAGTCACATGTTTACCTCCTGTCATTACCTACTTTTTTACCAGTAGTACTAGCAATATTCGTGTAGTTTCTTGTTCTTCAATTTCAGTTATCACCTGTGTTTGTTTGTGCTTTGGTTATCACATTAATTTGCTGTTGTTAGTGTTCTTTGTTTTGTATGTTGTGTACTATTTTCCATTTCACATTATTTCATTGTTACTGCTTTCATTTCTGTATTCCCCCTTTTAAACTGCTTTGAAGTATATATTTTTTCAAGCCGAGGGTCTAATCCAAAACACCCTCTCTATCTCTACGAGGTAGGGGTAAGGTTTGCGTAACTTTACCCTTCCCAAACCACACTCGTGGGATTACACTGGGTATGTTGGTGTTGTTTACCTCCTGTCATTGTTGTGGGGTTTTCCACTGTAGAGCACGTAATTAGCTTTCAGTTTGTATGAATATGTCTCCATTCATGTTTCTCTATTGGAAGATAAAGAACTGACGGCATTATTGATGAGTAATTTCTTGCTCTCGACTCTCGGTTTGAACCCCCTGATCACTTGGTTTGCTCATCTTCTCTATTTATATTTTGGCAGCTAATATCTTTGTCTGAGAAGAAGTGGTGGAAGTGAATAAAGAGTTCACGCCAACACGGAGTAGTGGCAGCAGAAATCCATGATGTTCTTTCCACCCTTGAAGATTATTTCCAGAAGGTCGTGAAGGATAAGGACTGAGAGTTGATAAAATATTTAATAGGTTGACGATGTTCTTTTTGTTTCAATACTGTCCTGCTATGATATATATAATATATGAACTTGACATTGTTTACAGTTAATGTTTTAATTATTTTCAATATATAAGAATCTCAATTGTCTGATTTAAACATGTGTTGATTTCTAAGATGACTATTATGGCGGAGTTTTGGCCTCGCCATTGCTCATTTAAACTGTTTGGCTTACAACTCCTCAAACAAATGGACAATGCAGCCTTATATTTCACTAATCTATCTACTCTTTACAAACAACAATCCTCCCTCCCTTTTTTGAAAACCTTATAAAACCGAAGATAACTTATACTAGTCAACAAGAATAAGAAAATATGTCTTGAGGACCCATAAAGCATATTTTTCACTTATTTGAAATTTATGAAATTGGAAATGAAGTTGTGTTTGATTACACGGAAGAAATTCGAAAAATGATAAACCCAATGGGTTGACGCTGCAAATTTCACCCAAGAATCATATTTTGATTGAGCTTCCACCATATCAACTGCTTTATTTGAAATTTATCAAGATGAAGTTGGAAAACAAATGTAAAACACTTTCTCTCCAACTTTGATTTTGATTTAAAATTTTATCTATGGCACTTAGATATGATTATAATTTCAATTTATTTTTTCTTTTACTTTACTTTAATTTTTTTTTTATCACTTTTTATATTTATTTTACACTCAGCATTTTTATTTTCTTAAAAAGAGTGAGTGAAAAATAAGAAAAACGAGGCGAAGAGTTGTGTGCTATGGGAGTGGTGAGTAAAGCAGGAGATTGGGCATTCAAAGCCTTCTCGGCGGGGCTGGGTGTTGCCACCATTTTCTTCGCCGCCACTTTCTCCGCCAACGTCTACCGTGGTCTCTCTTGGCATAACCGACAATCGGTAATCCCAATAATCCTCATCTCTCTCTGATTTCTTAGTTCCATAAACCCTAAAACCTCTTTTCCTCATTAAATTTAAACGAATACCAAAAGATTATTCTTTTTCTTCGTTTTTTATTGAAGGAAGATTGCCTTTTTTATACCAATTGTGTTCTTGTACTCATATATGATTGACATAAGAGTTTGTGATTAGATGACCTGAATAGTATGTTTATCTGTCTTTTATTTGTGTTATGATTGATAGGATATGTAGTATAAGTATATAACATCAACATGTAAAACGAAGAAATGCTTGCCTTTTATTGTCATTGAACTATTAGGTGTAAACTGGAAGAGTTTCTACAAACCATTAGCTTTCTGAATGAACTGCAAAAGGATGCGATAGATGGGTATAACTCAAAAAAGTTATTGTAAGAGATTGGTTAAACTCATGGTCAGTATATACTGAAGCTCATATACGTTTTTAGGTTATAGTTGTTCACATCTCAGTCTTTTCATGGAATGTAATTAAGGAAAGTTTCTGATGCCAAGTTACCAATTATTGGAGCACGAAAGCAGTGGCTCGTATGTTGCCTTGGGGTGGTACTTCTTGCTTCAATAGTATGTTGGGTTTGGGTGCCACTGCACTGTGTGATTTCAAACATGAACTACTTACCTGCACTCCGTTTAGCCTAAATAAATGTCGTAAATCTATCCCATAATTGTTCTATTCTAGTATAGTTGGATAGTTGCTTGTTCAGTTCTTTTCCTATCTACTACAACTACTGATGTCTGACAAGTGACCAAAATTCTGTGTAAAAATTGAACTATGAATAGAAGTTCTAGAAGAGTTCTTTTCCTATCTACTTTAAGTACTAATTTCTGATAGGTGACCAAAATTCTGTGTAAATATTGAACGATAAATCAAAGTTCTAGAAGATTTGTTGATGTATGATGTCATTTCCTTTCATTTATGGTGATAAGTACGGTTGCTTCAAAGGTGAATCTGTTCAAGTAAACTGGACCATCTTACTACCCTGTTGTCAATGGTTCTAATGAACGTTGAATTATAATCCCTCCGGCTTATGGCTATAAGTCCCTGTGCTCTTTGCTTTTCTGTTCTGCATTCTGCTTGCTCACTCTTTTTTATGTCTTTGGTATTCTGTACTGATGTGCTAATTTTGACGTCTGACTATTAATTAAGCATTGTTCCAGCATTACACGTCGTTTATTGAACTTTTAGCTCAACTAGTCAGCTATCTGATATGTGAGCATTTCCTTCATGTAGAGGGTTGAGAAGGAAGGATCTAAAGTCCTGCAGCAGCAAGAATGATGGTTTGAGAAGTCCTGCACTTCCACATCGCGTTGCTAGCTGAGGTCATGCTATAAGTTCTGAATCTTTTTAAAGTGATGCAATAACTTCTACACGAGTATGGTTTACATTCCGTCTTTTCTGTTCCCGGCCACATAATTGTGGAGATATAATTCTGAGATACCTATTTAGTTATAGCAACTGATGACCGTTTTAAAAATGTAGTTGGAATGATGTTTGAAATTCATGTGTGAATTGAAATTATAGAATACAAAGTATTACTTTTCCTGGAAACTAAAGAAAGCAAGAGAAATGAAGTAAACCTCTAAATTTTCCCCTTGTATTGATTGGTTTGAGTAAAAAATGTGGAAAGAAAATAAAGGAGGGAATCAATTTTCCTCTTGGACCCAAAATTATTAATTCTTGAAAGAAACGTCAAATGTTATTCCTTTCTTTTCTTGTTTTCTACCCAAATTACAAGACAAGAAATGTATCTCCATTTAAGTTGTTGTTTCCATAATTTGCCGTCATCTTGTTTATTTTCTTTTTACGGCATCATTGTGCACCACCAAGTCTTCAATAACTCTATGAACTGCCTGATGTTTATGAGACGCATAAACAAAATTGCATAACATTTGACCAGTATACAACTAGAACTTATAGCATTATAAGAAAAAAGGTATACAAGCATGGCTAGCCAATTGATTGGCCGCGTGGTCAGTTGAATTATGACTGTCCTCACCAATTAAGACTAATTATAATTGGTACTTACGATTATTAAGCTGTCTGGGTAGTTGGGTTGCTGTTGTGGTTAATTAGGTGGGAAAGGTCATCTCTCTCAGGCCCTCACCAAAGTCTTGAAGGCCCACGGGACTCCAAAAAACATTTGTGTTTTCGTAAATACAAAAACAATTGAATTTATTTGACTGTACTTAAACAAATTATTCATATCGCAGGTTGAAATTTTTTGAATTCCCTTCTCACAATTCATGGTTCCACCATGGGGCATCATCAATATAGACACACTGGCAACAATCATTTACACCCTATTCAATGCATCAAAAAGAAAGAAAACTAGTTCTTAGCAAATTATGAAATAAACGAAATATTCTTCTATACAAGGCCAACGTTCATACCAAACCCGCCATACAGTGGTCTGGCTTTCCTTTTCGTACTTTGAAATATCAAAAGGTAACACTAATTCTGAAGAAAGTTTGCTTGAATGATGTGGGATAGTTTATAGTGCACTTGGCAAAGCTTACTGAGTGAATAACCAAGGCCGAAAATGCACAAAATAGTAGTTGTTCTAGTAAGAAACTGCTTCCTGCTTCATTCTTCACAATCCTCTACTACAATGCTCAAGAATCCATGCAGTCTCCAAACCTGGAAACAAAAGCAACGGTGGAAAACAGTTTCAGTGTACGTTTGTGAAGAATTGGGTAAACATTTGAATGTAGTAAGCACACAAGATCCAGGGCCAAGGTGCCAAGTAATAAACTTCCTAATGAAAATGTGTTGGCTATAAATTTTTAACAACTGCACATTTTCTTTGGGGTTATCAACTTATCCCCAGTGTGCACTGATTACTAACAACAATTATTGCAATCCTCCCAACAACCCCCTCACATGAAAAATCATGGGAATGGATTAAAGGAGGACTCTACAGTTGGTTGTTACAAAAGTAATGACGAATAAGAAGTGTCCTGTGTGGTCATTCACTTCCCGAAAGCACGTCATGCTCGGGAGAGGGTAGCCCCAATATAGGCAACAGAAACTGATTATGCACCCAAATCACAATTACAGACTTTTATCAATATATGTGACCATTGTATTCCAAGCACAAAAATCCATGTTCTCTACTATACATATAAATTAATGGAAAAATATGAAATATTACTGAAGTACCTGACATAAACTATCATACACCATTTCGCAAACTTTTTGAAACTCCACCAACTGAAGGTTCAGAAATTCTCTGTGGATCACCATGAATTTCAGCTAAGGGGTTCACAATAAACCCACGACTACTATGGAGTCGGTATGTCCTATTCTCCAACTTAAGTCTTTCACCATTTCCATTCTGACCAGCTACGTTGCTTATTAAACCTGCTGATGATGAGGTTCCACCAGAAGCAGAGAAGTGTGAAGTTGCACCACGACCTTCTGTTTTCTTCCAAAGTTTTGAAGTCAAGAATTCTGCACCTGGTAGCTTGCAACACATGGATGCAGAGTTGGTATTTGACATCTTTCCGGTTGACATAGCCAAGTCAAATGAGATTTCATCTAATGCCAGTTCCAGACCATGTACACGTGTCTCCAGAGAATGCATGCCACTTTGTGAGCTCCCCATAAATTTCTATATATACAAAGAGAAGAAGAAGTTTGAGAAAAATACTCAAGGAAGCATCTATGGACTAATCAGGAGAACTAAGATTTATGAAATAATGATTAAGAGCATTTCTATGCTCAATATATTATAAAAAAATCCAATGCACACTGAGCTGAAATTGATAATTAGGCTGGAATATCTTACAAAGTAAACACGAGAGCTGCATATAGCAGCATTTTGATCCAACGGGAACTGATATATGTTTTTTAATCAAGATCCAAAGGAACTAGCATAAGACCAGAGAAAGTTAAAATTTTGGGCTCTTTGCAGGATTCAATCATTGAAGTAAAAGCATATGTCGCAGCATAAAAAATTGGTACTATACAAGGACTAATTTCCTTCTATATTTCCTGTTTTCAGTGTATATCTTGGGAAGCAAGGAAAATAACTTTGGTATTAAACATAAAACAAGTGCAGGCAAGTTAATGCATCTTACTCATATTTGTTGTACTTCTTTTTCTCCGATTGATACTTTCATTCACACACCACTTCCCTTATGAATAGGAATCATAGAAGCAGAATTTCATCAAATATTAGAAAATTACCTGGAGAAGATCTAACAAATTGGACTGCTGAGTTTCAATTTGAGCAAGTTGTTTCCGGATCAGCGAGAGATCTTCACAATCTTTTGGGTTCCTACAGAGATCTTCAGTTTCATTGCTCACAACTACAGTAGATTCTGATATCTCATCTTGATATGGAACCACACGACATCCAGCCTTCACCACACTATTCCTGGTTTCATTAGTGATCTTACTAAAAAGAGTACGTTTGACTCCAGGTTGTGTATGTGTTTCCAACTCCTCGTCTTTGCCCAACTGTATCCCATCTTTGTTTTGGTGATAATCCGCAGAAGAACCATGAGGAGCAGAAACTTCAACTTTCCATGGCTTCTTGCGATCAAGTTTGCGAAAGATTGCTGGACCTTTGTGGGCAGCAGGAGCAGTGGAATTATCTGCTACAGATGACTTGTTAGATGGCCTTTTTACACTAGGAGCACTAGAGCTCACAGCCCTGGAAGTCTTCAGACCAGGAGGATAACGTCCATCACTTGCATTTTCTATTTCAAGGACACAACATGGAAAACATACAAATTGATTCAAATTCACAAGCAATGAGTATTAAAAGATGAAAAGTTTTTAAGAAGAAATTAAACTACCCCAAGGAAAAAACTAAAAAAAAGAAGCAACTAAACTAAACTAAACTAGACAAAACAATATCAGCATACTAAAATATAGAAAGCAGTAGCAAAAGATCTTATGAACAAAAAGGAACTGATGAAATGTGGAACAAAGTAACTAACAGCCAACCACTTGCATAGATGATCCGTAATTTAGCACAAGAGTGACCAAATCAGAAAATTCAGTGATTAACATCCTCCCAGAACAACAAAAAAAAACTACGAAAAAAAGTAAATAAAAACCATATACTAACTTGGGAAAAAATCAAGGTACAACAATATTCTTGCCTGACGGATGATTAAGAAAAGAGTAGAATACCAACAAGTTTATCAAAAGGACACAAAATAAGGAACTAGGACGCATACAAAGTACATCAACTACAGTCTAACCTGGGGGAAAGTATGATCTTGAACTTGACAAAAATGCACCAAAGGTAATTAATGTGAAATAATACACTAAACCTAACTACATTAGAGCGAAGATAGGGTGAAAATACCTTTGGAAGAGGAATTTGACAAAGGAAGAGGGGAACCATCATCAGACAAATCAGGGATTCCCTTCCAGGCTTCCAACATTTGATTCATTGCTTCTCTCACTGCCTTTACCTGTACAATTTAATCAATCATCTTTAAGTATCTGGCGAAATATAGTACCAAATAGATAACAATCAATGGTAAATCGAACTGGATCCGGATCAGCCAACAATGAAAAGAGAAGAGATAAATTGAATGTAATTTACAAACCTTATCAAATCGTTTCGCCTCGAATGTCTTCAAGCACGGTGCTTTAAACTCAGATAAGGCGTCTCCCTCAACTGCCGCGAGCCTCAGCAAAGCCTCTGCACTGGCTTTCCGAGCCGCCCAATCATCACTACTCACGAATTCCACCAAATACGGCACCAAATTCCTCACAATTTGCTGACTAGAAGCTCCTCCAACTGCGATCACACTGCCAATCATTGTAAGCAATGCTGCCTTCGCTTTGAAGCTATCACTCTTAAGCAACTTCTCAAATCTCGGCAACGACTTCCTCAAGCAGGCAATATCCGGATCTGGCGACGCCTCGATAGCTGCCGACAAACACAAAGCAGCACCGATCTGCGAGTTCATCTCCTGTTCCGTGAAAAGCGCTTCCAGGAACGGCTTGATAATTGAGGAGAATGGAGGTTTAGTCAGATGTGACGAAATGGACGCACAAGCAGTGACGCAAGCAGTGCGTACGGCGGAATCCGCGTCGCGGAGTCGGCGGACGACGGCGGTTAGAAGTTTAGAAAGATGAGGAGAGAGAGAATCTCCATGATGCTCAGAAAGAAGGGAGATCAGTCGGAGACATTGTTTACGGACTGGTGACTTATCCGAAGAATCAGTGACGGAAATGGAGGAAACAAAAGGAGGAATTGCTTCAGGGGAAAGAGTTTTAGCAATAGACTCGAGTTCAGAAGCCGCCGCCGAATGTGTATCCCGGTCGGAAAGCTTGTGTAGGCATGTGAGTACCCGGTGCTTCATATCACGTGTTTGGTTCTGGTTTTGCTTACTGTGGACCGACATTTTCACCGACAATTCACCGGGAAACTGATTTCTAGAATGGAGTTAGAAATTGGCGTGAGAAAATCTAACAGAGTTACTGTAAAGGTGGTGGTGGTGGTGCTGGAGGTGTCTCCGGCAGCATCACAGCAGTGCCGGCGGTGGGCGGTATCTTTTGTGTTGCAATGCTTTATGGATTTG